AAACACGAGAAAAATACCGTACCGATGGGATAAACCATTTAAAAGAATAAGCATGAAAGCAGAATCTTCCAATTTCTTGCAATGTTTAAAGATTATATTTAATTTTATAAGAATAAAGAGAGCACTCTTAACCTGGATGTCAAATGTAGAATCTAATCTAAGGTTAGAATGACTATCGATATTGCATAAATATCGATAATATCGATAATATTGATAATATCGATAATATATCGTTAACATATCGATGAATAAAAGTAAACTACAATATGATTTTTTTAATAAAGTTTTACATATTTTAATTGTAATTTATTACAAATAATATTTTTATTTTAATGTTTTAATAGTAACAGTGAATAAGAAAAATAAAAACTCTAATCATTCCTACATTTTCCTTATCATCGATATATAAAAATAAAACTATCAATAATATATCGATAACATATCGATAATCGACAGTCACAACTCTAAACGTGAGACACATGTTTCGATAATAATATTCTTAGAAAATCAAAAATCCATATATAGAGAAATATAAGAATTTAATTGAGAAATTTATTTGTGAAAGAAATAACGATTTGTTCGTTTTGGTCGATAGATTAAAGATTTGCCATACGAGAGTTAAATTATCCATGGGATAGTACGATAAGAATTGTCGCGACAAGACGGATGTCCTGTGTAACCTGCAATTAAATCGTTCGTGGTAGAGAGAGAAGAAAAAAATATGTACAGAAGAAAAAAAGAAAAGAGGTGAGACGAATAAACCTCGAGTCAGCGTTTGCAGAAGGAACACGAATATCCGGCAAACAAGAGACATCATATGCCAAGGAAAAAGAGAGATGAGAGATGTGATGACGTCAGTGGCACCGGCGTCATGTTACATCGACGTAATTACGTTAATCCACGCACGTATGTCGCGGCTAAAACGGGCGTCGTCGTTAAGCTGATCTCTTACACTGGGATCCGATTAAATGTTTGGTTCTAGTTGCCACCATTTACAACTATGTGTAATAAGTGAGGTTAGGAATTAAAAAGGTTTCAAGTTAACTTTAGTTAATGAGTGATATATACTTGTGTTCCAGTTTGTAACATAACCGGTATAATCTGATCTTAAAAGTTATTTTAAAAGATAAACTTTGAAAATTCTGGGAACAGTTAAAATATAAGTATCAAATAACGAAATATTGATATCAATATTATAAGTGTTTTCATTACTTCAAATTTTAATTCTTTAAAAATTGCAATGAACCCAGAATTTGCAATTTCAAGAACAGATCATTGAAAAAGACAATAAAAGAACGAGATTAACTTGAAAAATTCCATGTACTTTAGTCGTGTAAAATTACAGCAGTGCGATTAGTAAGCATTTCCAAATAAATAAACGACGATAATTGATCAATTATCCGTGAACGATTCAGAGGCGAAACGGCTGTTGTAAATTGTAAGGTTACAATATGAAGCGAGTCATTGAAACTAATGACAAGAGAGAACTTCGACATCTGATCGATCGATATTGCCGATAGAAATCCCTTTCTTTTCAATAAAATCTTCCAATGAATACTTATGAAATGTTAACTGTGAGCCAATTGAATACGATGACTGTCGAATCGCGAACGTATTAATTTCATTCGGTTACAAGGTGCATCACGAGCAATTTGTCGGAATTGAAAATATCTATTTAATCTTACTGCAATGATGAATATAAGAAATACATATAAAAGTACGAATATGTGGATATATATGTACAGTTTTTTCAAGTTATATAAATTTCTACCGTTAATATATCGTAAAAAAATGATTTGATTTTGAATCCGCTTTCTTATCCATCTCTTTTTTGACAGCGATGATCTTTCGTCGTAAATTGGATTGCGAATTTATAATGCGAAATAAAAAGAACATCCTGATATTTTCTCATATTTTTTCTCTATGTTTAAAGCTTCGTGAAATAAAGAATTGCGTTATACCTTAATCTAATTTATTATAATTTTTTATTCTATCTATCTTAGATAGATTTATTCTATCGATCTTGATTCGATAATCGATAGTTAACACAATTAATTTTTTTAATTGTGATTATCCATTATAGAAATATAATAATATGTTATTTCAAAATATAATTCGATAAAATTTTCTTAACCTCAAATCTAATAAAATAAATTAAAACAAACTAAAACCTATTTCAAAGAAGATTCTTAATGGAACAAGATAATAGATAAATATTATAGTACCATAAAAACACAAGTACTCTGAAATAAACTTTTATATCCTTGAATAATTCTCTACGAATCCTGAGAATCTCGATTGTTATCCAATTCTCTAACTTTTCTTGGTTGCTAGTTCCAAGAAGTGTCGTCGGTAGCGTTGGGAGCAAAGGGATGAGTAAAAAGGAGAGTACAATGCATGCAATTAGTCGTGGCATGATAATATCGCGAAAGTTAAATTTGTAGATCTTTCATTCCTACCAATATGCTACCTACAATTTTTGAGCCAATAAAAAAAAGAAAGAGAAAAATATACAAATAAAATAAAGAAATAAAATCCCATTTTCACGATTGTTCATCAAACTGAAAATCTATCGTTCGACAGATAGCAAGATAGATAACAAATTATATGTAAATTTCCATTTATTTCCTTCCGTTTCAAATTGATGCAAAATATAACTTTAAATCTAATTATTCAAAAAATAAATAAAGGAATCGCGTGTTTAATAACATTAGTTATAAATTAGAAAAATATATTATACGAATATAAATATAAATATGTATATAGATAAAAACATAAATATCAAATTTACTATATATAGTATTTTTATTTACATACCTGATCCTTAGCGAACTGAAACCACGTGCTGATAATAGCCGGCAGACGGGAATGATGATAATGCTTGGTGGTCTTTACGCTGATGAACACATCGTCGAGATTTGTGGTGAATGGTGCCATCGTCGCAGTCGCGATTGCAGGTGTTACCGATGATTCCTCTCTGATCATTCTCCTTGAAGATGGCACTTCTACCAGTACATTTCTGTTATTTACTTCAACTGTCATTTCGTCGATCCACTAAACAATATAATACACACATACAAGGTCAATCACAATACTTTCTCGATAAATTCGTAACATTTATAAATATATGATGCACATATAGAACAAGAATTCGAATATTTTAAAAAAAGAAATGAAGAACATGTATAAATTATAAAACGAATTAATGAGGCATGTTTAACTTCCGTTGTTCATTTTATAAAACAGATGTTTGATTTATATAACTTACTACGAATAACATTTTAACAACGAATATATAATTTTTACGAATTTCGAAAATGATGAATTACGAATGCTCTTTATCACAGATGTTAATTGAATGTTTACTGTTATGCGATTCAAATTATGATGTGAATGTCTTAAAACACTTACCTGACGAGGTACAATAGCTTGATAAAGAAGAATCGTAGCATAAGCAGTGGCAAGAACAAGTGCCAATGCCTGAAGACCTCGTCTAGTCGGCAGGCCACGGGGCATTTTAGCACTTCCGGTGCTGATATATCCCGCGTCAATCACCGACAAACGAGTCTGTGGCCCACCGCCACCAAATTTCACCGACTGTCCTTCTTCTCCGTGATTTTCGCGTTTTTCTCGAATTCCAATAATTAACGATAACCACCCCACATCGTTCTCCTCCTTCTGGCTTGTTAAAAATACGCCAGTCATAACATATGATATATACCCGTCGGTTTCCGCGTCACTCTCGTATTACTTTTTTTAAATATCGACTAATCGAAAAATTTGTTCTCGTTAATCAAATTAAATATACTCATAACTCGAAATAATGCCACGTTTGCGCATGACAAGGAATCACGTGAACTATATCGATTCACTATGTCAATCACAAGATCATCCTTCGAATAATTTTATTACCTTTTAAATTAATCAAAAAATGTAATTGTAAAATTTCAATATATGATATTTTGTAACGAATTGCTAATAACATCACTAATGTCATCGTTTCACTTCACTTAGTTCATAGTTGGTTTTATCAATTTCTTCTAGATCGATTAAATCATTAAAATCGATATATTGATTTAGAATTCTATATTTCAGTTCAACAATATTTTGTATTTTAAAACTTGTCTTCCGAATTTAATATTATAAAAATATATTTCTATGAATCGATTAATCGTGCGTTAAATTGTTTAATTTTTGTCAATATTAAAAAAAATATAATTAATGTAAAGTAATTAAATGTAATCTGTATATAGTAAAACAGCAATAAATATTTGACAACTAGTTGTCACACTAAAATGCTTTCGGAGTAATACGAAGAATCACGAGACTAACACGTAATAAAACGTACTGTTGCGCGGCACGCGACAGGCCACCGACTGAACACATGGCCAGCCGCCGTGACTACGCTGTAAACATCGCCATAGCAGACACTTGGTTGGTATGGTGGGAGAAAAACGGCCTGCGAGTGGTACAATGTCTGAAACAAATGAGAAGGGAAACGCATTTTAAATAGAGCACCGTCTCTTTGTCGTGTAACATGGTATTAAATTTTAATATCAATTGAAAGCCAATGAGTAACAAACAGGAGTAATTGAAATATTATTATTCGTTACATATTATTAATTTTATTATGAATATTCCACTTTTATTTTTTAATGAATAATCGTTGAACATCCTTATTATTTGAAAGGAATTAGGGAATATTTTCAATTTTTTCATGCATTATATATTATTTTATATAATATACATCGTATATTGGATTTAAATTTTTTGTTTATTAGACATATATTTACAATTATTTTTTTTTATTCGAATTGGCTTTCGTTGTTTTTATTTATTGTAAAAATGAAATATTGTTAAATTGTAAAATATTAGAAACATTTGGTATTATAATATGTTATAAAAAAATATGTTATTATTGCTAATAAATTCGCCCTAAAGAAAATTCGAAGGACGAAGGTAAGCTGTTCTTAATATTAATATCGCAGGTCAGGTGTAGATTTCTTCGAAAAACTACTTATATTTTTTGTATTACAATATTTAATTATTAAGATTATTAATATTTACATTTGTACATGATTGAATGCACTGTATAGGAAAAAATTAAAACGGACAATCGTAAGTACTTCATCATGGCCATATGTCCGAATTATAATTATATCTCGTGATCACATACGGATAAAAATTGTCCATTTCAACTTCAAGCACATAATTGCCTTTCACTTCAATAATTGTCTTTTACATCATTAAATTAAAATTTATTACACTTTCCTCCTTCATTTGTAAAGTTCTAATTACGATAGGAGGTACATTCCTATCTCAATGATTGTTAAGCCTCTCTTTTTTTGTTTTTCATAAATACATTTGATGCGATCATTAAGATAGCTGCCACTTTGCACTTTTTAAAACCCAATTATATATGCGTTCATCGCATATCATTCACGTTGCCCTTCGACGTAAAAGAACTATGCTATTATACAATTTAATTGCAGGACCGAGACGCAATCCCAATAATGATACCAAATCTTCTTGAGTTAACATTAAAAATGCTTCTCCATCTATATTCTGTAAAAATAAAATAAAAAATTAAATACAACTCAAATTATATAAAATTCTTTTTTTTTCTACATACATGTTGTCTAAAGATATTTCCAATTTCTTTACAATTAGGGACGCTCTGTATAAATTTAATAACTTCCTCATTCGACCACCTTCGTGGATTTGTATTTTGTTTTGCTACTACCCTGTTTAAAGCATTGCTATGTTTCGCCCATATATGTGGAGCATCCGGTAATGGATTGTATCCAGGATTATAAACAGATTGATATAATTCCGTACGCAATTGTTTATCAGGCATATTTGCGGCATAAGGTATAGTATTTAATGATGAATCACCATATGAATTTGAAAGAGAATATAAAGGTTCCTCAGAAATCTGTCGTCTACAAAAATATATAAATCATATATATATATATATAATTGATAATAAATATCAGATTTATAAATGTAAAAAAAAAGAATTATTCAAACCTTTTTTTTCTTTTCCTTAGAAGTTCATCATCATCCGTTTGTCCATCACTATGATGATGTTTTGACTTACTAGACCTATAACGAATAGTTTAGAATATAATATTAAGAATAATTATTTTATATAACAATTTAATTAATAGAAACATAATTGAAAATATTAATATAATTTACTTTTCCGAATTTTCAGACTTGTCATTTTTATCAGAAAAATCTCCATCTTCTTGTTTAATATCTTTCTCAGTTTTCATTAACCGATCTTCCGAAAATAATGGCTTCTCTAGCTTCTCAGATTTTTCCATTTTTATTTTATCAGCCTTTTCTGTTTTTGATCTATCCTGTAAATCATCTTCAAAATCGCAAGTTTCATGTTTTAAATTAAGCCTATCAGCTAATTGTCTAACTTTGTGAAGATTTTGAGGTGAATATGGACATCCTGATGCAGAATTATGTGTTGCATATTTAGGACCCTTCACGTGACCTATTCCTTTGCAACCATATGTTCCACATTCTGGTCTATCATTTAATTATCCGGAGCTATAACATGTATTAATATTATGTTAAAACACAGACTCTAATAAAGATATAAAGATGCAACATATATTCAAAATTAAAAATTTTAAAAATAACAAAAAAATATAAAAAATGTAGAAAAACAATAAAATATACAAATATACAAATGTGACAAATATTTAAAAAATTCTTACTTAATGGTGGTTCCAAAGGATGACCCGTTTTCATACACCAACCCATGGGATGTATGTCAGGCGAATCATCATCAACCCAGTAGGCATGATTTTCTGGCCATCCATCAAATCGTATTTTTAACCTGTAATGTAAATATAATTTTTTATATTTCAAATTAACAGTCAACTATCAAATAATCAATTAATTTTGATAAAAATAAATATTTATTTACATACATATGATCTTTTACATCTTCAACAGTTGCTACTCTTATAAGTTGGGGCACACGTTTATCAACTGCTTCTAATTTCATTCCACGTTTAAATCCGCAAGGTGGTCGTTGTTTAAAAGCTCGCGCCGGTGCAACCATAGAACGAGTTTCTCTAAGATATGCGTCCCACGTAAAAGATTTGGGATCTTTATAATCTAAATCAATAAATTCATATTTTTGTATGTATCATTCTTTCTGAAAAAAAATTATAAAATACGTATAAAAATCAAATATATATTTTCACCTACTATTTGGTGGCGTTAAACTATGACCATTATGATGACACCATCCCACTGGATGAATATATGGAGAACTTGCATCTGCCCAATAATCATATACTTCATCCCAAGAATCAAAATGAACTAATATGCGAGAATCCATTAGGCCTGCTATACTAGCTACGCAAACCAATGATGAATGCTTTCTATCAACTGCTTCCAATTTCATTCCTACACGGAAACCAGTTGGACAGACGGACTATAATAATAAAATATATTGATTAAATTTATGAAAATTTAAAATGAATCAATTAAATATTGTCGTTCAAAATTAATACTCACACTTTTATTTGAAAATATATTTTTTGGTGCTGCAGTAGCTTTACAAATTTTTAAATATGCATTCCAATTAAAATTACTAGCTACATAACCTTTTGGAGGATCTAATCGATGTCCATTTTTTTCTGACCAACCAATAGGAAAGATATCCATACTATCTGCATTTACCCAAAAATCATAATTTTCTAAATATCCATCGAAATGTAAACGTATTCGGTAACCTGAAAATATATATAATTTAAATATATTGAATTTGTTTTTATATAGCAAATATAAAAGAAAGAAATTAAAACAGACTTACCTACTACTTCAACAACTGTAAGAACACAATATCGTGATGGATGTTCAGGATCTATTCCTTCTAATTTCATTCCAACTTTAAAATGATTTTTAGTATATGGAAAAGGATCTTTGAATAATTTAACAGGTGCAGCTTTTGCTTTACAATGTTCAAGATATTTAGACCATGAAAATCCGAGTTTTCCTGTCTGCCAAGGATACTACATACAGAAACATATTTATAAACCAGTATATTTTAATGATTATATAAATAAAATTTGATCATAAATACCTTTGATTCAGTGGTATCTCCTTGACTTTCATCATCTATTCCTGTGATAGTATCTTTTGTATCCTCATCTGTTTCAGACTTTACCTTGTCCTGAACTTTATCTTCAGATTTTTCTTCTATTTCTTTCGACTGTTGTTGTTCTTGAAGTAATCTTTTACGTTTACGTTTCGCACGTAAATCTCTACTAAATCAAAAAAAAAAAAAAAAAAANAAAAAAAAAATAAAATTAAATTTAATGTATATTATAAA